ACGCCACCACCATGTCCTAGGCAGGCATCCCAGATGATGGCCTCCTAGGACCCTGAAGGACCCCATATGGACTGCTTTGGAGTCTGAAAGGAACCACGGATAGACACGCACACACACATTCACACACAGTTCAACAACAGCAAGAGCCCACATCTAGAAGTGGGGATTTTAGCTGGCGAGGCGCCACTGTCGGTGCATCAGTCACAGGAGGACATGGGTGAAGTCAGAGCCTGACAAATCCAGGGTATTATCAGGCCTTTGTCCAGCCTGCAGCTGTCACTTACCAGGCTAGTGGGAGAGGATAAGGGGGACAGAGGGGAATTCATGACCTATCCCTGTAACCACAGAGGAGGACTGAGGCATTTGGAGATAAAACATATGGGAACAAAAGGAAAAAAATGAAGGAGAGAGTTGAGGCAAGAAAAAAAGAGGAAGTTATTTTTATGAAGATGGGAAAGAGAGAAAAGTGGAGAGGAAAAAAATGCCGGGAGAAGGCTGCAGTATATGCTTCAACTGCTTCCATTTGATTGCCACAGAAATCATAGCAGATTGGCTGATATATGCTGATTTCCTCTGAAGACTTAAAAAAAATGTTTTATCTTTGTCCCTCTCCCATTCAGAAATGACCAGCGGTAATGCATATCTAATCTTTTTCTATCATCGCGGTGGGTCCCAAAGGCTGTCCATCTCCCCAAAAATACCTCATCTTTCTGTCTTTGAAATAAATGAAAGTCCACAGGGCGATGGAATAAAGATGAGCTAAGCCTTTGACTTGATGCAAGATTGCCAGAGGGTCCAAACTTAAGAAGCCTGCCCCTTCATCTGCTGCATGGAGATATTGGGGCCAGAGCAAGAAACCAGATAATCTGATAGAATTTCAATCAACAGTGATCAGATAAGAAATAACAGACCGACTGATTCTAAAGTCAGACCGAAGCCCCACCAGTTCAGCCATTTTCGCTTTAGTTGGAAATGAACAAGACTGTCAGAACTCCTGTCAAACTTCATCTCGTGAAATTTTATCTCCTGGATTATAACACTCTATTATTCCCATTCTGATTGGCTGGAACTGGCCCCTGACCTTGGGTGTGCTCGTATGACCCATGTTACACTCTCAGTGATTGGATTACTCCTTTATTGGCCGGTGGCAGTGTTTATAGGGCGTGCCGAGACGCAACGCGGCTTTGATCCACCAACAGAAGCAAACAGTGGGACGGTGGCATAGTATGCGTCCTCGGCCTAAGCCTTATGGTGTGTGAGACATATGCCAAATCCTCCTGGATCAAAGGATGACTATTACACACACACAGGCATCCACATGCCCCCAACTGCTGCTTTAGAGGGCTCATGACCCCTGTCAACAGGTCAGTTTAAAAAACACAGGTGGGATGGAGGTCACATGCAATAGACACATGCACACAACTGCTGCTTCATAGCAGGATTAATTCATCACAAGTTCAGTAAGCTTGTTTTTGTTGTCCTGTGGCATTTTCTGACTTCAACTAGTTTTTTTAATCCTTTCATATATAATAAGAAGGGGGTGAGTTGGAGCAGCAGCAGGAAGAAGAGGAGATCAATAGAGGGTCTGTTGTTCAGATGGGCTTGAATCCTTGTTGTTTGACCTGACTCTGCATGCCTGTGAATTCACAGGTTCACCTCTCCCAATAAGCCTCTAGAATAAGCTTTCAGGCAAGCTATAAATACAGCGGCAGTGTGACTTTACTGAATACAAGTGTCGGTAAAGTGAGGAGAAGAGAGACGGGGAAAGTGAGATAGTGAGAGTGTGTGTCGGCTCCTTTGTAGCTCTCTCTGCGTCTGTGTGTCGCAGTCTGCGTTGCGCGGGTATGTTTGCATGCATTCGGGAGCAGCATTGCCAACCTGAGAGGCCAAGTGCTGACATTTCAGTCTGCGAACACACAAATGAATTTTGAGCAAATCTCATTATACAGGACAGAATGAAGATGCTGGCTCTGAAAATGCTGTGGCATATGGATACTTTATCTCCCCCATGTTTTTTAATTAGTTTACAGGCGGTATCCTATTTTCCATTGACTCACATTTTAAAAAGAGGACTTTCAGAGGAAAAAAATGCACTGGGACTAAGCCCTGCAGACTCACACGACGTTTTCCCTTACGCACAAACACATGGCTTATAGCAAAGTGATGAGCGGCGCTCATTCATATTCCCTCATACCCATCTATTTCTGGCAGGGCTGACACATACATCCTATTTACTGAGATGATTTCCTGACATAGATTTCTACCAGTTTCTCCCCCAATCTTTTCTCACAGCTCTTGTTCTTTAGGTCCTTTGCAGACATTGATGTATTCAGGGGGGGGATTTGTAAGCAGTGACACCTGATGCATCAGCAACGAACATGCTGACTAATTATGCATTGAGGTGCCCAAGTATCGGGGAGCTCTCAGGGAAGGCTGCAGAATCTGTCTTCTTTATGTATGGAGCGAGGCCTTCTGCTGACAGCTTCTGATGTCTCTCCGAGCTCGATTCCCGCCTTTTTTTTCTTTTTTCTTTTGCCATATGAATATATTTACACTGCAGAATTCCATGGAGTGCTTTCCAAGAATCCCATCAACTTGGTACCCCCATGGTGGGTGGAGGACCAAGAGGAGAAGCCCCTACAGATAATCTAGATATTGCACAGGCCCCCTTTGAACTACCATGACAAATTCACCCCTAGTTAAACCCACCCCCACTCCCAACCCATACTCGATGCAATTTCCATTCGTAGCTCTTTGAAAAACCTATTGAAGTGCTGTGCTGCTCCTTCTTTAATTTGCTGGAGATCTTGTCTGTGCTGATCTTCTCCCAGTCCTCACCCCACCACCACATACTGGAGCCCATCCCTCTTTATTGATGCTTTAGTGGGTGAGAAAAGGGCAATAGGTCTTGCTGTGTAGTGAGTGTATATGGACTTGAGTAGGCTTGTTTATAGCCTGGATTGTGGCCCTTTTTCTGGATCCCCAGCTGGTTGCTGTAGCCCAGTGGTGCTTGTTTGAGATGCTGATGCTAGCACTGACCCTCCCTGGAGGGTCGAAGAGAAAAATTTATGATGCTGTTTGTTTGGACTCAGCCTGGTCTTCTCTCTGACCAGCCGCAGGGATTAAGCTAATTGCACGTACTGGGCTTCCCAGATCTGTTTGGTCTTATTCCACCCATTAGAGCCTTGTCAAACCTCTCCCTCAACAAGCAGGGATGATGGCATGTACGGTATATCAGCATATGTATTAGCAGATGGAAACGTGTCGAAAATTAATACGGAATTGCAGATGTGTTTTTAGTTTTTTCCTCTCAATTGCGTGCTGTGTGTGTGTATACAGTATAGCTAAGGCACACACACTTCTGTACAACACCTCTTAAGGGAAATCTGGAAGCCTTTGCATTAACAAACAGATGAATCTAAACAGATGTATTCCGTGTGCATGTAGAGTGCTGTTTCTGAAGCTGATAATGGATTCATTTTACAGTTAAAATTAATAAAGACTTTAGAGGAATATCTTATTTTATGAGCCTATAAGCGTTGTCATAGGTTTCTGTAGTTCTATGTAGCCCTTCTGTTTATAGACTACAATTATGTATTTTAACATGCTATTTAAGCAATTTCATGCAAATGTAAAGGGAACACTGATTTTGTAATGAACAGTAATAGAAGGGCTTCACCATCACCCTGCACCCTAAAAGCATAAGCCGCCTCACACCCCAATGAACCGCTTAATTGCCCACATCCACATAAAAGGCCTAATGTACGCTCCCTGCTCTCCCACACACATAAAGCTATAGGAATCAAATGGAGTATAACTAATACAATTGATTTTGACCAGGCAATACGAATAACACGATAACCGTGTCTCGCCAAGTGCTACTCAGGGGCACGCACTGCGATCCATGCATCCTTTATGAGCTGCTATTTATTGTGCTTTTAATGAAGCTTGATTGGCAGCATGTCCTAGTGCCCATTATCATCAGAAGGATGTGCTCATTCTAATCTGCAATTATCGCCATAATTGCTCCCAGAATCCACTGGGCCCAAATAAGCAATCACTTCCACTGCTGGCATGCCACCTGTAAACGCTACTCCAGAGGACACACATGACGCAATGACAGGGTGACGGGTCCTCGTGTCAAGCGTCCATTTTGTTTTTTTAGAGTTACTCCTCATTTCATCCACATGTACTTCTCTGCTCTTTGTCTCACTCCTGATTTTTTTTTCTTTTACTTCATCCTGCTTGAGTCCGTTTCTTTCCCTTCTCTCACATGCTCTTGATTAACCTTTCCCTTTTTCACTCACCACCATCCCCGAGAACCCCCCTCCCCACCTTTATCTCCTTTTCCTCCCATCCCCGAGCTCCCATCCCCTCCCAGCACAAATTCCTAACCTTTGGTCACTTTCATCCCTGTGGTATGCATAAATGCAGGCCTGTTATCACGCTGGTTGTCTCATCATAATTATGCATTTTGTCATGTGCTGCTTCTGTAGCTGCTGATAAAAGGAGAGCCTGATTAAGCTGAAGGAAGGCTATTGATTCCTATTGACAGGCCCCTCAAAGCCCTTTAATGAAGGGGATGTAAATGAGGGTTTTCCACAGTGTTTAATGACTGCCTGCCATAAAAGGCCGACATTCTCCTGCAGTCTAAAAGGGACATGCATCACTCACAATGGTGCACGGGGGACACTTTCAGTTATAGGGATGTTAAGAAGCAATGGATGAAAAAGCATGAGCGATGTCAGTCAGGCAAAAGAGAATCATGACTGTCAGATCAAGGGATCCTCCACGCAATTTAGAGTGGTGTTGGGGTGGTCAAGTGAATTATTCAAATACGAAATAGCATCTTTAACAACATGCTAGCTTGAGCAATGTGCCAGGTGTTATTTCTGAGTGAGGGCTTGCTGACAGATTACCTCCAAATAACCTCTCAGTGTGCTATCTGGATTCAAAACAACTGGTCTCACTTTTTTACCTCCCGTTTCTTTCTCCCACAGCAATCAGATGGCTCCCAGTAACCACGACCGGATACAAAGGCTGAGGCACGAGTTCCAGCAGGCCAAACAGGAGGAGGACGTCGAGGACCACCGGCACACCTACAGCTTTGACCAGTCCTGGGTGAGTGTCCAATAAGGAGCCACGCTCCATCCAGAGTGGCGCTGAGCTACACAAATCCAGAAACACATTCTCCAAAATGCCCCGCGCTCAAAGCTCAAATAGCGATTCCCCCTTCACCACTGGACACTCAGATAATCTCCAGAGCCACCAGCTGCTTGCAGAACTTGGGAATCAATATAGGAGAATCTTATTTGAGTGCTTATTTACTTTTGACTTGACCTTACTTTAGTCAGAGTTGGGTTTCTACTCCATAGCATGGCATAATAATATCACGGCTTTTAGCAACAAGCACCAACAAATCACTATTTCAGGATGAAACCACATCTTTCACTGGTATTATCTTGATGATTATCACTTCATTTGATCAATGCACAGCAGATGAAAATGTTCCAGTAAATGTTATTCTTTCTGACTGAGACAAAGTCAGGAAAAAAACACTGAGCACAAATGCAATTTGCTTCCAGTATTATTCCCAGGAGAAGATATTTAGTTACATATCTCTGCAGACTACAGTTAGATTGTGCCATAAAAACAATGTTACTTGTGAAATTATATGAGACAGGATGAAGCAACATCAACATTCACTGGTTACATGAAGTGCCTCAATCATCTGACACTGTCATCCTTTCAGACTGTCAGTGTGGTTCAACAGCCAAACTTTTATTTCTTTCTTTTGACTAATTTGTATTGTCGGGGTCCAACCTTGGAAACAAATCACTAATTATCCGTCTCTGCCGGTGTCTTTTCTATCTTGGAAATATCCGCCACTTATGGCAGGAAGGCAGGGAGGAGGTGAACATGGGAAACATTTGATGACGAATGACTGTTCAGGACTTTGAGGCAAAGTAAGAGGAGAGAACTTGATGACAGCGAGGCACACTCTCATTTTAATTTTCATCAGACTTGATTAAAGGGATTTTTAAATTAAAAAAATTTAAATTAAAATTTTAGAGGAGGTTTTTTTTTTTTTAAGCCGTTCTCCTCTTCCATGATTGATCTGTAACAACAATGGGATTTACTTCTCATAATTGGAAAAATGTAATCAAGTTAATTCCTTAGTTAATTCATTCAGGCTTGATCTTGTATCCCTCCCTCGTGTGCATGAAAAGTTCAACTGTGTGTGGAGTTTAAGCAAAGAAACACTCTATTTCATCTTTCCACATACCCTGTGATATCACTGATGATCTTATTTACTGAACAAACCTTTGTTAGAATTGGTTAACATTTAATTTAAAGGTCCTGTATTATATAAAGGTAGATTTCCATGTCTGTTTTGATTATAGATCAGGTCTAGGTTCTATATTAATACTGTGAAAGTATCAAAGCCTCAGTCCACAGAGTAATGCACACAACCTGTATTCAGAAACTGAGTCTTGAAACGAGCTCAGGGCTTCTGCAACTTTGTGATGTCACAACAAAGCAGTCATGTCCCAAGCCCCGCCCACCTGTACCCATCATCCAGCCTTGTAAAACTACATGTAGATTGTTTTCGGTACTTAAAACCAAAAATATATCTTCTTATGGATAAACACTTCAAACAAAACACATGAAAAATATGAAATATGGGACCTTTAAGGTTTGCCTCTTTAGTTTAAACCACTGAGCCAAACTCGTATAAACAAACAGAAACAAATTAGAGATCAAATAATTGTATATTTTTGCAGTGTAATGGCTTGAGACAGACAAAGCTTTTTTTGTCGCATGACTTCTCCAACCAGCTTTCTCCTGGAGGGGAAATGGCTATTTTCTAAATCATAGGTCAAAATGTCAGACCTTGAAAGTAAAAATATTTGGCATCAAATTTTCCGGAGAATTATCAGTGTCAGTTTGTCAATTACATCGGTTTTGGAGTGGCAGGCATCTTCCGCTGTTTTCCCTTGCTGTCTAAATGAGCTTGGGTTAGACATAAGAGCATGTTTTCCTGCCTTGTTCTTACACAGACAAAAGCAGACTTTATTTCCTCTGGATTAGCTTCAGTGTTAGTCCTACTGATGGCGGAAAATCACTGAAAGCGGACATCTTACTCCACTGTTTTCTTAGTCGCTCTTTTTTCCCGTTCTCACTGTCAGAATGAGATGTTAACCGTTTGTTCAGAACTGAGCAGTCTGTCTTTCTGAACCTCTGAGCTCCTAATTGCTTGTGACTGTTGACATTGTTGAGCATACCCCTGCTATTCTACTTGTAAGGAAATATGGGGCCAGCCCTGGAGTATTGAAGTATTTTATTAGCTCTCTTTCATGTTATTTTAGTCCTGTGAACAAAGATTCACAATAGCAGAGCTTGTTAGGAAAGATACAGACGTACCCGTGTTATGTGTTGACACTGATTAAATGAACTCAAAGGAAATCCTTTCTTAGTGTCATCCAAAAACATAATGGATATGGCTCTATTTTAGACAGATGAGGCAAGCTTTTAGATATTGAAACCCAAGGAAAATGTATGGAAAGTCAAGGAGGCAAAAATATGAGATGACACATTTATGTTGGATCTATTGTTGAAAACAAAAAAAGACCCTCTAACATGTATGCGTAGAAGCAGGAATAAGTGGTAAAAATACATCAAAGAAATAAACTCTTATTCCCTACAGCTTCCATTTTAACTGTGTATTTTTAGAGTGATTTTGAAATTGACCCACACTAAAAAAAAACACAACCTTCCGGCTGTGTTAGTTTTTGTACAGAAAATTGATATCTGTCACTTTTTTCAAACTGTGGATTTTCATTCTGTCGTTGCTGAATGTCCTCCACAGTGATGAAAGTGAAACATCCGTGACCTCCGGATTTTTGGATCCAAACATTCACTGAGAAGTGACTGTAAACAGGAAAAGGCAAGATGATCAAGACGGCAGTTAAATGCCTCCCACATCAACATCTTCAGAACTGCACTTTGATGCGCGTTGTCCCTGAGTACTCAAGGTCACATCGAGATGGCCTCCGCACAGATCTGCAGTACAAGCCAGAACAGGAGCAGCTGCTAGCATCTTCAGGCATGACTGTTGTATTATTTATACTGTATATTTCTTATAAAAAACAAAGTGTTCCAGCTCGGATTTACTCGACCACTTATCCACATATTTGGGATTAAAGCAATATTGACAAAACAACATCACCTCAGGGTCCTTTTAGTAGCTGTTGTGGGGCTTATGATCATATCATATGATATCCATTAGTAGATGCAGTCTGCCAGTTGCTGTGTAGATGTTCAAATTTCAAAATGTTAATGATCGAAAGCTTCAGAACAACTACTAAATAAACCCTGCTGTTTCTAGGCTTTTAAAGATCCCAGATTTTACACTTTCCTGTGTCTTATTTGAAAGTGTTAATCCATATGAAGATATATTTGTGGTTTAAAGTACCAAAATCCATCTCAATGTAGTTTTACATCTCCTCTCTCAGGCTTCTCTCTGGAGCTCTAGTAACAACAGGCTGGTGAGCCAATCAGAAGAGAGGAGGCTCTGAGCCCCTCAGTCTTCTGATTTTCTGAGTAATTGAATAAAAATAAAGCAGATTTCAGTTAAACACTCAGAGAAACCAAATCCTGCAAGGTTGGATGGTGGGTCCAGGTGGGCGGGGCTTGGGCCATGACTGAGAATGTTGACTGCTTTCTTGTGACATCATGAAGTTCCAGAAGTCCTGACGGCTGGTTTTAAGGCTCAGTTCCTGAATACAGGCTGTGTTCATTTCTCTGTGGACTGAGCACTTTGATACTTTCACAGTATTAAATAGGACTTAGACGTGTTTTATAATCAGACAACATGGACATCTACCTTTATACAATGTGGGACCTTTAGAAATTAACTTTGTAACTGAACTAAAGCAATATTTTTATTTAATGTAGTTTTTTTCTCTTTTTATTCTTCTGTGATCACCGTCTTGAGATTACAGGTCATCCTGAAAATGCTACATTACCCAATAGCCTCTTCTACTGCTGTTATACAAACAGCTGTTATATATTACGTCTTAAAAACATGGTGGAAAAAACAGACAATGTTCAAGACAATGATCATAATGGGGAACAGGAACAGAGGGAGCATTTGGAGCAGCATGAGGTGTGAGGCTCCCTCCCTGTTGGTTTGACCCCAGCTTGTCTCTAGGGTACTGGAGACTGAGCTCAGGTACGTCTGCTGTGAACACCTGTAATGATAATGCAGAGGTCAGTCCTTGAACCCACTGCTCCCCCTGAATGGAATAATGACCAGCAGGTCACGAGAAGCCCCGTCTATCATGTAGCCCCAAGCCAACATACACAATTAGAGCTGGCATGTTTTCTCTCCCTCCCTCGCTGCTGCTCTGTGAGAGGGGATTTCCAGATGTTCATCATAAAGCGCTACGTACTTTCCAAAGAGTTGCCTTTTTCCTCTTTCTCTCTCTGCGTCTAAGGCAATAAAATCAACTTGTGCTGTTGGGTTGGAGCACCAATGAGCGTGACCACACAGACGAGTTTAAACACCATGCTGATACCTTGGATCAAACACACCAACAGCAGCTTGTAAAGCCCTTATTTATGTGAATTCTTTTGATTTTATTATCGCTCTATCTCCTGCTACCAGGATACATGTGTCTACAAGCATTTGTTATGTTTACTCGAACTCTGCTAGACTCTGAATTTGGTGCGTTCGTGTCGGTGGGTGTCTGATTGCAATCGTGAACTCTTTCCTATGTGATCATGTGAAGAATAAGCCACTTTCAGCCGCAGTCACTTGACTTCCCGACGCTAAGGGTTGGAGTTAAGGAACTATAGCTCTGCACCATGACAGTGTGGGAGCCTCCGGCTGTAACCAGTCACCAGTGTGTCGAGTTGATGCTGCAAGGCTTCCCCTTCTTCATGTGGTAGAATTGTGCTAGAGAGGTTCAACACCAAATAATTCAGCACCTAATTAAAAATGTTATAAACAGTGTGAATCTAAAAAACTAAATTAAATGAATAAATTTTGTCTTTAATTATACTTGCACGACTTAAACAAGAACCCATATTTTCACACTTATTCCTACATAGTTAATATCTCACACTGATCTTTACAGGTCTCGTATTTTGAACTTGTATTTACGTACATACTTGTATTTAAATACATGAATTTTTACACCTGTGTTTTATTTGATGTGTTGATCCATTTGAAGATATTTTTGTGGTTACAATATGGGACCTCTAAAGGCAAGCCAGGTGACTATGGATCATAACATAATCTAGAAAGAGATAGACTAATCCTCTACTCACTCTTAATTAGTCCCTGGGTTTTTTTTTTTTTTAATAATGCAACCATCTCAATCAACAAAACAAATTTTGCATCACTGTATATTTCAGCCACAACTGATTATGTTGTTTTGGTATCTTTTGTCAAGCTGGCTAACGCTAGCTGTTGAGGCTGCACATGTAAATTATGGATAAGTGCTGGTCAGGCAAAGTTTACTGACCTCATGATTACAACCACCATGAGCGTGTGGGAGGACGTGCCAACAACACTACACACAACAACACCTCACAATCAGAAAGTTAGATTTTTTTTTTCATAGCAAATACAATGTTGTTGCCAAATCACAGATAAAACACACATCTGCAGTCACAAGCATACCTACACAGATGTGTGCATGCCTATAGTATTTCTAATGCACTCAATTTAGGTAGATGCCAAACTGTGTTAACAGATAAGGCAGATAACAAAGAGAGGAGAGGAGAACAAAGTGATTACACTGATATTTTTCAGCACTATTACCTCACACATTCATCCACATTGATATCTTCCCTGCAAGAAATGGGGCTGCAACATTTTGTTCTGCCTTTTCGTGCGTGCTGTGGAGTCCTTAAGTGATATGGAGATAACCAATCCAACCTCCCATTCAGCATGGTTTCCCGGGCCAGAGACCGGGAAATGGCAGACCACACTGCGTGCTCTCAGATGGATGCTCTGCCCAGAGCTACACACCCAAGCAACCACAAATGGACTGGGCTTGCTTATAATAAATTGGCGGAATTGGGTCGACACAAGGACTTTAAGAGAGAATCATTATCCAGCTGGGCTTTTGTCAGGATGTGGTGTTTCACTACCATTCTCTCACTTTCTTCTCATTCTGTCTGCCCATTAGCAACGTAAATGTCTTCCATATGCCTGTTTGTGTACAGCACGGCTGCCCTCTTAAAACTGTTCCCTATGCGGTGGCCTACAAATATAGCATTATGAGGAATGCGGGCAGTGAAGCCATATGTTAGTGCTGACCCATCTTGATATCTAAAAGGTCTGTGACCAACTCTGAACCAAGAAATGTTTTACCTCGGCTGTCTGGCCTGTGTTTTGAACGTTTAAAGCTCGGCTCCATCCCACCTGCTTCCCTCCCGGATTTTTGATAGCTGCAAATAATTTTCATAATTATGTCCCCTCCTGGCTCACCGTCTGTGAATGCTCCCATGTTTAAACAGGTGGAGAATTTTTTTTTCTCCCTGCTTTGTCTGTGACACTACCAAGGAAACAAGGGAGGGATAAAAGCGTACCGTATTGACATCATTTTTCACATTATTGGATAAAAACGAACACGGACGTCTCTTTGATTTGATTTCAACAAATGTCATGTTTTATATGGCATTGTATTCCAGGCCTAACATGGAATAATCTGATTCTCCTTCCCTGGATAATGCCATTACACTGACTGATTTTCTCTCCTGGCTATTTCTCATGCATTTCTCTTGGCATGGTGTCATCCACCTCAACCGTACGGCTTTAAACCGAAGCGTCAAGCACCTCCGGATTCCTCACCACTTCCTTTCACATCACATTAAAAACTTTAAGTGTGCGTGACTAATTATTTTCTCACCAGCACGTTTGGCCCCACTAAAATAATTTCTCCTTTTCCCTTACAGTTCATCTGATATCCGTTTATGCGCGCTGCACTCTCTGAATTGGGGAAGCGTGTTGTTCCAGCAAAACCTTATACACATGAGTCCAATTCAACTCACCTACGCAGAATGCTGTTATGTTTTTAGAACTTGCAGGGCTTGAGAAAGGACTCACTATTGACGCTGAGTGAAATGTAATTGCACTGTTATTGCAGCTGTCCAAGTGAAGAGGAAAGCAGCAATTTCAAGAAGACAAGATGTTTCCAAAAAGACACTTTTTGCTGACAGCCTTTCCATACGCCAACACACCTTTAGCCCATCATGTTCTATTACCCCTCTTCTCCCACCAGCCCCCCACACACACAAACAAAAACACACAGATTTTCCAAATTTACAAAATAAAAAAAACTCTTTCCAAACTACAAAACAGTGATTCTTTAGAGCTTCTGTTCAGTTTTAAAACTCGGCTGACCAGTAAAATAGTCAAAATTATTGGTTCATATTTACTTAAGCAGAATTTTATGCACATAGGCCGTCGGCACCCCCACCTGCCGACCATATTACCGTCCAAGCCTTATGAAAACTGACACGTAGTTAAGCCACACTCATAACACCTCCTCAAGCTCGCCTCTTTTTAATTGGCTTGTCATGTTTTTTCATCAGCCAGCTCTTTAGCAGTGCACTGGTGTTGAGGGAGATGATATCTCCATGTCAACCCCGCTGATGATCAGATAACAAACACACACACACACACACACACACACACACACACACACACACACACACCGGCATTGGTTAGGGATGTGCAGTCGAGTCACACGCAGATCTGTGGAACGAAGCAGTGACTGGTAATACTCATCTATAGTTAATGTCTTGAGCACAACAGTGGGCCGTACTTGAAATACACAGTATGTGTTGATTAAAGGATATATTGCATACATTTTAATTTAACATTTACGTCTGCTTTTCTTAACACCCGTTTTCTTTCTGGAGAGCAGTGATGCAGCTTGTCGAGTCGTAATAGCCACTACAGCTGAACAGAAAAAAAAGAGCTCTGTAAACAGAAACTCAAGTCGTTACAAGAAAATCCAGAGAAGAAGGTCTGATGATACTGTGGCCAGTCCGCAGATGGTTTGTGAAGTACAGTAATAAGAAAATTGATTTGATTTCACCTGATACTTCCAAGTCCTCGAAGACAACCCCGCTTTTTAAATTTTATTTCTGTTTTTTAACATTAAAAAAAATATTGGTATAACGTTGTTGTCTGGCCTTCCAGTAAACCAATGCTTTGTAATTGATAGAAAGAAAGATCATATCTTGGTGAATTATATACTTTCGTCCACTGGTGCATTGTCATCATGGAATCACACCCTCTAACAACCTGCTCCCTGATGACAGCACAAAACACAGGAGGCAGCACACTGTCAAACCACCTGCTGTGTTGAGGGACATATATTCCATCGTCTAAGTATGTGTGTGTGTGTGTGTGTGTGTGTGTGTGTATGTGTGTGTGTGTGTGTGCATGCATGCATATGAGTGTGTGTGCAAACAGGCATGCTTTGGTTTGCCCCCAAAGAAAGAAATGTTTGACTTTACATCCCTCTGTGTTACTGTGTCTTACCTGTGTGTGTGTGTGTGTGTGTGTGTCCTGTCTTGTTGAATGTGCTTGACGTTGCAGGTGAGCAACGGGACAGAGACGCAGAGCGGACGTCACTCTGTGACCGTTGAGACTCAGGTTGAGAAACAGCAGCAAGACGACAGAGACGGTTTCCAACAGGCACAGAGACAGTACAGCTCCCTGCCACGGTGAGACACCCGTCCTCCTCTCCCTTCTTTATTCCATCCGTCTGCCTGTCTGTCTCTGTCTCTCTCTCTTCCTGCCCAGTCTGTGACTTATCACGTTCATGCTGCCCTTTCTCAACCTCTTCATTTGACTTTTTTCGATTTCCATCAATTTCTTTTTCCTCTTATTTGTGCCTTTACCCTTTTTTCTCCGCACCCTCTTTAGCGTATCTCTTTGGCTACAAAGTCAATCACCACAAAGCCACTTTCAACTTGTCTCCAGACATTTAAATGATTCTTAGCAAAACTCTTTGAATGAAATCATTTAATGTGATCGCTTGGAATTATTTGACTGATATCCACCTTCATTAAGTCAATGTTGACCCTGAGGAAGTGGTGACTTTGCCTCCCCGGCCCCCAACACTTCTTTATGATTAACAGCTCTAATATCATGTTTTTAAAAGGAATTTTCTCTTGGCAGTCTCTCGCCTTACACAGCTTGAGTTCAGAGCTACAACCACTGCACTTTATCTTCTCCATCATACTGTTTCGATTCTTTTGCATATTTTGTCAAAGAGATGCCAATAAAGCTTACCATATCTTACATCTTTTCAGCCTTCGGAGGGGGAAAGGAGTTTAGGATCAGTATTTGCATTTCCTGCCATCGCACTGTAAAGTGCCTTTACCAATCCTCTGCTGCTTTCTAATCGCACTTTAATGTCAATGCAAATTGCGAAGCCAACCACCGCTGGTGAAAAATTTCCACATTTTAAGCCTCACATGTTTAAAGAGAGAGTCACTAACTTTGAGTGACTAACACGGGGATTTAAAGTTAGTAATAAAATAAACATGATTTCCTCTCTTTGTTAAATATTTCCACATTAAAAATAATCCAGTGTGAGTTTTTTGTATTTTGAAATATATACAGTTCGATCTAAAATGCTGAAAGTGAAGTCTGATTTATTTAAGTTTTGCTCCTGTGCCAATTTAAACAAAGACAGAACACTTAATGTGTGTATATACAGTACAGTATATATGTGTGTGTGTGTGTGGTCTTTTCATTCAGAGTAAGCCTACTCTCCTGCGATTCCAATCTTTCCCTCCACAAACAGCAATCACTCCTCCACAGCCTTCCTTTTTTCCTCTGCTGTCTCTGAACAGTCAAAGTCAGGTCGATTAAAACATGTTCCTCGTCTGGGGTTATGGATTTGTGATCCACATGGACCCCTAATCAATGTGGTCTGCATGAGCCAGACCAATCCATACATTCCCTTCATAGGTGTTGTCCGCCTGCATCTCATGTGATGTGGCAGTTTCCTCCAGCCCACCCCCTCTCAGTGAGCCGCTTCTCTTGGGAAAGTCGGTCTGGCCGGCCATAAAGCCGGGCGAGGATGGCCTTTGATATGCATTCCTCTCATAATCTCATACCGTCTTTTAGCAAAGAGTCGCATGAGCTCAGGCTTGACATTTGACCCCGGCTGAGGCTTTTCAGAGCTTGTAGTCTAGCGTGGCTCCTCATTAAGGAGTTGAAGACTTACATCCCCAGATTAATAACCACAATTCCCTCTAACTCCGACCAACCTCTCTTTGGAACCCCTCCATCCTGTCGTTCGCTTCCAAAACAGGAAGTCTGAGCAGTGAGCCGTTCAGCCAAAAGGGGACACCCCCTCCACACAACACACACACACACACACACATACACAAAAACTCCCAAAGAGCTTCCAGAAGAAGCCGTGGTAGCTGGTTATCTGATGACGGCCAGGCTTAGCTCGCTGTCTGGGATGTGAGGACTGGAGGAACACTAATGAAGGCTTGTTGTCGGAGCAGGATTAGCTGTGACAGGCAGTGGAGGGCGAGAGGGGGCCGGGAGAGGAGCGAGTGTGTTAGTAGGAAAGAGAGACCACTGATTAGCCTGAAAGAGACGCATTCACACACAAAGATACACACAAACACACACATGAATGTGGTCAAGATAAGGCTCCTAGCTGCGGCCTGGGTGGACTGCCAGTAGCTCTCCCGTATACCCCTAAACAACATTGTTCCACGCTATAAAGCAAACATTATTCCAGATTTGTGGACTATTTATTTGTAGAATATCGAAGCAATCGTTCCTTTGCCCATTGAATACATTTGCTTTATTTCCCTAATCATTTTGTATCTGAGCATGTATATGTGTGTGTGTGTGTGTGTTTGCTTTCTCCTCCTCCTCATAAACTCTGATTCTTCCCAGCTGTTTTAAAGAAACACACAGCGGCCGCAAATTTTTGTGCGAGCCAACTTCCTGGCTTTGTTTGTTATGTTCTGTCATTCTAAATTTACCCCGCTCTCTGCCATGATGTATTTTCCCATCCCCTCCCTCTGTAAATGTAACTAATCTACTTCGTGACATATTCTGGCGCAGGAGTAGAAGTGATAAGAGAACGAGCTCCCCCTGACGCATCAATCATTCAGCATTCCTGTGGAACAATGCCATCTCTACTCTCGAGTTGCCGCCAAAGTCTTTCCCCTTAAATCTCCCTCCTTCTTTTATCTACTTTAAAAACTAAAAAAAAAAAAAAAAAAAAAAAAAAGGTCAAACGCAGATCTCTGCCTTGTGCAACAGGCGTCCTGCGATTCTAAACAAGGCGGCTCCCTCGTGAGCAGTGCTGGCTGCTCTGTAAGCCAAAGCGGGGTGTAAATGCATGGCGGCTCGCCCAGACAGCGAAACCCAGATACGGAGCATGTGGTGGGGCTCTCTCTGCAGTCTGTCCCTGCAGCTGCCCCTCCGCCAATTACCCTCATACTTACACACACTCTACAAGCATGCATGCGCACACACCTCCAAGGAAACATAATGCATTGATGTGTTGCACACATACAGTAGCATAAATGCAACCGCATTTGTCCATGCATGCATGAATGTAGATCTGAACTCACAAAGGCAAACATAGTCACATTACATCGCCATGTGCTGCAGCTCTTCCCCTCCCCTTAGATACTGTGGACCCACAAGGGCTTCCATTAGTGATGCTGTGGGCTTTTTATTAGAATTACTTGGATAAATGAGACATAGAGAGAAAAACAAGGGAAAGTTGAAGTAGCAAGAAAGAAAGAAAAAATACTGCTTTTTACATTTCTTGTTATGCAACTGTTGTACAAGCATTGCCTACACTGCATAGATTTATGTTTGACACAAGGGGTTAATTGGAGTCGTGCCATAGTGTTGATACTTACTGCAATGTTAGATGCCCAGTTTTGTGCAGGATCGGGCTTTAATTACATCCTTCACAGTAGCTGTGTTTACTTTTTTGCATTTACTTTCTGACAGCAACGGGCTGTGCATGTACTTATTGGGCTGGAGGTGACTGATAATGTTATATAATCTATGATCTATATTATTATTTGCTGCACTTCAACCATTCACGCAGAGCGGGGATCGTAGTGAGCAGAGGGCTTACGGTGGACACGACTTGTGTTACTGAAACGCTGCAGGTTACTGTCTTCATCGCCCTTAGCATCATCTTCACTGTCAATCATTTCTGGGGCCGTCAGAGACGCAGTTCACAGCTGATCCAGATCTTGTAGTTACATTTTTGCACATCAGCTGCTGCGTAGCTTCAGCAGCTACTTGCATAGTCTCTAGCTACAGTGTAACTGCTTCATGTCAACTATAAATCAAGCGTAGGAGAATTTATAGTTTTTACTTTTGGCTCTGCCATATAAATCATCCAAGTCATTTTCTCTCTGTCAAGCTACATCACAGTACATACAACATAAGAAAGTGGATCCATTTACCTCATTTCAAGGTTTCAGTTTTAGAGAAAACAAAATAGTTTGACAGAAGAAGTTCTTTGAACAATAAATGGCCTGTTCTGTCGTTTGTTCCTCTGTGGAATGAGACTCGACTGGATAAGAAATGCCAGCGTTTTTGGCCTTAAAAGCACGCCGGGCCCCCTGTCTCCATCTGCAGCCTTGTGCATCGTGAACTCAAAAGCCTTTTGAGCACACTGTTGGTCAGTGAGGTGTGAATGGGATTTCTCTTAGCACCCCTCACACAAAAGACACTGTCACAGGTCTTCCATCGCACGTCTGCCTTAATGGATCCTAATAATGGAGGAGCAGGCTTAACACTTTAGCCAAAAACCTTGCAGTTCCCAATGATGGCTTTCCAGGGAACAGTTTCTGAAAAAGGGGAGCATGTGTGGCGGAAGGCATGCTTTTGGGTCCGTGTCTTTTTGTATGAGAGATAATATGTGTGCATCTTGGGCTGTTCTGTCAGTCTGGGGCAGTGATTGTCATCTGGGGGCCCGCGGTCCACATCCGGCCAACCAAAGCTCAACATCCAGCCCATAGAATATTAATGACTTCAGAAAATATGAGGAGAAAAAAATGTGTTCTGGTATTTAGCATATCTAGATTTTTTTTTCTTCCTATAATGAAGCAATAGGAATAGGAAACACTGCACTGTGTATGAGCCCAACCTGCATATTCTAAAGACATTATAAATCCATCTGTTAGCTTATTATTAGTGAGTAGCCCACACAACCTGATGCAGGAGTTGGGCCAACCTCACTCCTAAAGCTGAGCTTGCTTGTGCACTGAATGGCAGGAGCCTGATAGCTGAGCTTTTATTCTTCTTAGTCATTTATGAGTGAAATGCAGCTTGTGTTGTATCATGAGACAAACTCAGCTTTCATTTAGCATTTCATTTGATTATTTTTTTTTCACATGCTCTTATTTAACATTTTGTTTTATTTATTTCACATGTTCTCGTTTGTTTTGTTTATTTTTTCCCCAACTGCTCTCATTTAACATGTTTTGTTTGTTTGTTTTTTTCACGTAATAATCCTTATAATGAGGACGCATAATAACAACCTAAACTTCTCAGTCAAAAGAGGAAAAAAAGAAAAAAAAAATTGGTTTAATTAACATCACTTAAAAATCAAAAGAGCATGGTAAATGGCGCCGTGTGTGACAACAGAAACTGAATATAAATAGATAAAACAGGCAGGCCTTGGTTGCCAGAAATGTTGCTTTCAAAGAGTCAGTGGAACGGAACGGTTCACCGCCGCTTCCTGTGAGACGTCTGTACATTAAATAAAACGTTAAGTAGACCATGTCATTTAACAATGAATCTCGTGAATAGAATCCTAAGGCTGAAATACTCACATTTGGTTAATGGGAGAAATTACATTTCCCCTCCAACGCTAGCTTCTTAACATCAGGCTTGACAGCTGTTAGGCTTATTCACAAGCAGTCCTCCAAAAATTGGTTTGACAGTCAGTTCCTGTCATGCGTCTTGATAGCGTTCGTGTTTGAGAATGCAGATTCACAGGTATAAGTTGAGCCAGACATGCTGAGTCTTCAGCGTGTGTCATAGTCTTGGGCACAAGCCACCAAAAAAGTGCTCAATCTTTCAGCACCACGGAGAGCAGCTTTCATTTCGCTGGATGTCACCTGGTTCACTTTAAATCGTGGCTTCTTAGCGGAGAATGGCAAAGTCATCAAATATTGCAGAGAAATTCTCCCCTAGCTGTGTGATGAATTTATTCATATTCTCGGCGACGTTCAAGCTCACCTCCCTGATAACAAATCTACAAGTTTGTTCCTAAAGGCATCAAGCTTTTTCAGCATATCCAGCGATGATTTTTCTCTTTGCCGGTGGTCAGCTGCTCCTTTTGATTTACTTTGCTTTGAAAAAATCCACAACTTGATCCCTGTGTCCAATGAAGCGCTCTAAAGCTTTGCCCTCACTCCACGCCATCCCATGTCATTGTGGAGTAAGAGGTCACCGTGAGTAGCTTGAGATTTCAGAACGGCTGATGCTGCGTAGTCGAATTCCCTTTGATCAAGTTAATTATCTTCATTGTTTTGTTCATAACCTTCTTTCAGATCTCCACTTACTTTGGCGCACAGCATGCTTTGATGAATGAGACTGTGAAGTGCATTCATTCTGGGAGCAACATTCTTAATTCTGCTCACCAGAGCCTTGTTTGAGCCGACTATGGCAGCAGCACCATCTGCAACGAATAGGTTGACTTTCTTCTAATGACAAGCCATGTTTTTTAAATAACTCCTCCACTTTTTCAAAGACAATGTGAGTAGTGCTATGACCTCCCAGTGGAATCAAAGCCAATAGCTCTTCTTTGAAATTCCCCCCAATCAAAATATCAAAAAAGGACTACTGGGAAATATCTGTGGTCTCATCAATAGCCAGTGATATGTGTTGAGCTCTATTGACCCCATGAACACCGCAGGCAGTGCTTGAAGCAGACAGAGGTATTTGCTTAAGAGAGGCAATTATCCTGTTCATAGATTTGTCTGTGGCAAGTTCCTCCAAAGCAGTGACCATGAGCTTCTTAAAAACCTGGGCAGCGGTAAGAGCTTTGTCGTGTTTGGTGAGAACCCAGACAGTCTGAAGAGATGCACTTGTTGCCCTCTCTTGTTCTGTTAAAGTTTGATTAACAGTTCTGCTGGCACGAGAATATCCTGCTTTCGAGCTGGCTGTTTTTCAGCTCTGTCTGCTCCGGGTATGACTCTCTGGAAGTTGCATGCCTTGTGTAGTGGTGAAACCTGAGATTGTGTTCTCTTGCAACAGCGATAGTTTCATTGCAAATGAGGCATACAGATTTAGATTTACTGAAAGTTGGCATAATGAATACGTACTTATCAGTCCATTCTTCATTAAAGCTGCGGTTTTCCACATCAGCTTTCCACTTTAGGCTGTTTGGAAGTAACAAACAACAAAGGGCCTTTCTTCCTGCTTCCTGCAAGCATTTTCCACCAATCAGGACACTGCATAACAGCGTCAAAACCAGTTAAAGTTGATTAATATTTCCTTCTTCTCATTTTTTATGTATGTATAATGAGCTGCCTCCTTTTCTACTTAGGCCCAAGTATCCAGTTATCATTTTGGATTTCACATGTTTTTCTAATCAAGTCTAATCAAAATAACATTAATTTTGTAAAAAAAAAAAAAAAAAAAGTGAAAATATTTAACAATAATAGGCAATTAGGTCTAAATATATATATATATACAAACGGAGGAAGCCCGAGACGCCTGCAGGACTATTAGTTCCATATAAATATATAATACTATATTATTATATATATATATATATATATTTTTTTTTTATTTGTTTGTTTTTTGAAAGTCAGGCCACTACAGTGTCTGATACGAAAAATTCTGCTCCTTGGTCAGATGTAATCGATGACCCCTGGTGTCGGGGCTGTCAGGCAGACTGAAGATGAGTAGAGGGCAGATAACGCCATGAGGCCTGCCATTACTGTGTCTGAGCTGTAAGTGCACCCGTCTGCATCTCAAAAAAAGGAATTGAACGGATGAAAGCAGCCATTTTTCTCAGGGAGGTTTTAACATTTGTGTTTGTTTACAATATGGAACTAATAGTCCTGCGGGCGTCTCAGGCTTCCTCCGTTTGTTTCCTGTCTCTTTTATGTCTCGGTCTTTATGTCACTGGATTCAGTGTAATCAAGCGGCAGGCTCTAACAGATCCCTCTTTGCTCCACCCATGTTGCTTTCAGTATTTTAACTCAGTGCCTCTGCAACATCCCGTTTTAATCTCACAAAATGTGAAAACGGTCACATTCTCTGCTGAAGTGCAGTTTCTTTTGAATTCCCCTTCAATGGTGCTGACCCAGGGGCCAATGCAGAAAAAAAGCAACCTTTTCTGAGCAGAGAAGATAACTACCCCCCCCCCTCTTCCCTTTAGATTCAGGTGCTGTCGAAAGTGACTTACTCAACGGCACGACTGACCTCTTTACCTGTCTCTGTTTGTTTAGGCAACCTCGTAAGAACCCCAGCACAGCGTCCCAGGACTCATGGGACAAGGTGTACATGCCAGCAGAAGGATTCCAGACATCCAAGGACAACCCCCGCTACTCCAGCGTCCAGGGATCACGTAACGGCTACCTGGGAACTTCCAACTTCAACGCCCGTGTCCTCTTAGAGACTCAGGAGTTGCTGAGGCAGGAGCAGAGACGCCGAGAGCAGGAGGCCAACAAGGCCAGGCCGCCCCCCGCACAAGAAACCCCCAGCGGCAGCACCTACGACCAGACCAGAGACCGCACTCAGGCCTCTGCCTCTGCCCCAGTGAAGTCCCCACCTCAATCCAAGGGCCCCTACAGACAGGACGTGCCTCCGTCTCCTTCTCAGCTCGCAAAGCTCAGCAGGATTCAGGGTTCGGAGAAAGGGAGGCCGTTTTACTCCTGAGAGAGTAACAAAAAACTGGAAAGTGGTAGTTTTGGAATAGGACTGATTCTACAGAGCATTAACAGGGAAAAATGTAAAGAGGGCAATAAAAGTGCTGGGACTGTTGATATCAAATGTTAATATTAAAAAAAAGAAAAAAAAAAAAAAAAGATTTTTTACGATATGAACCATGATCCTTTTTAGCTGTGTCACAAAGAAATGCTTTGAGATGTTTTATTGTCGACCAATCCGGATCATTTAACCACGTTTAGAAGTGCCTTCTGGTCCACTGATGGTTCACCTTTTGTGTTCATGCTCTGCAGCTCTGACCCACCCACCTGACACATTCAGCCGAGACATCACAGCAGAAGGCGATTGGTTTTAGCCATCTCTACGTCACCACGTCTGACAGCAGTCTGACCTGAACACCATAACCCCAGGCACAAGACACAACCCGGGCATGTTTCTGTACCACTCGGGTCCCGGTGTGTGAATCAGGCTCATTTTTGCTGTTCATGGGGACTTTTCTCAGGCGCCGCTGTACATGTGTATGTGGGCGTAAGTGCTGGCAGGACTTGGCATGTAGTGACAGAGCGTGGAGGTTAAGCAGCTTGTGTGAACTGTGGAGTCAGAGCTGTGGGCTTCGGGCATGACCACTAACACCCCCCACCCCCCCACCCCCCACCCCCCCTCGGTTCAGAGAATTGTCCCTTTTGGTTTTCGATACAACACTACCCTGAGTCTGTGTCCTCCTTCCAACCCCCCTCTTGTATTTAATATGATAATCCTGAATTCTCTGTTCCTCTCAGCTGGCTGCTTTATCTCTGTTTTCTCTCTTCATATTGTCACCCTCACCATACGGCACTCTCAGCGGAGGAAAACAGTTTTAGATATCCTTTACTCCTACCCCTCCCCACCCACCCTGGGAATCAAGCAGTATGAATGGGGTCAGGTCTGGGTTATTAATTAATGTAGCTCATTAAAAATGAATGCACCCCTTTGTGTGTGTGTTTGTTGTCATGTGTGGGCGAGGAGTAAGAAACCCCAACCTTTCCGGCATGGCTCTGGCCCCAGATTCACTTTGAATGATTTGGCTGTAACCGAAGCCTGTTGGACCCGAGGTGTCTTAGCTGTTCCCCGCTGAATATTTCATCAGGGTGGTTACATCGGCTCTGCAGTGGGTGGCCTCACTGTGGGACTTCCTATCTTTAGGCCTGATACAATTGAGCTGATTTTGTTTTCTCTTCCTGATTATGTCCATTGATAGAAAACCACTTGGGAGCTTTTTTTTTGCCATTCAATCAATAACAAGTTGTGCAGTGTGTGTGAGAGAGTGTATATGTATGAGCTTGTGTGTGCGTGTGTTCTTGTAGTTCTGTCCCTGGAAAAATATTTGAGCTTCAGTTCTCAGTGACGACACTTTTTGCAATGTGAAGACATTTTCCTTGAAAGGCAAAGTTGATGATTAATCTTGGGTTATTGTTAAATTGGGTTTAGGTTCAGACTTTTCATTTGTTTGGTAACTGAGAGGAGGAAGTTAGGAAATTTCCCAGACTTCTTTTTTATTTGATCAGAGTTTTGGGGCCATTTTGCTTCAGTATGTTTACATGCACTCAAAAGCAGGCTTCACAGAGAAACCAGGTTACGCAGGTAACAGGAGATGCTGTTACTATAGGAACCTGGTTACCATAAATGCATATATACATGCTGCAGATCAGTGATCTTTCTCCTTCACCTTACCTTACTATTATTTACTGTTGTTGTTATACACTATGCTGCTTCTTGTTGAATGTTTGAATTTTACAAATTTTAAATAGTTTAGTGAAAAACATCTAGAAGCTACTTTGTGTCTGTTTCAGTTTTAGTCAGATATGGATTTATTTTGAACACAGGATTCATCACCATGTGTAGTGATCTTTCCCACCACCCAGCTGTCCCAGGTGTCCCAGCAGTACTTTCCCTGCCGGAGGCTTTTGTCACGCTGATAAGACAAGCCAGGCTGTGTTCGGATTGTCCACTTGTCCTCTCATTCACTCACCCACTGCATAGAAGACCCACTAGGGGATAAGAGCAGGCAGCAGTGACATTATAGACTACTACACTACTCGGATGTTAAATTTGCTATATAATTATGCGCCGAATATTCATAATTATTACCTCTGTTGCAGGAACAAACGCTAGAGCATCTGCATCACGTGAGGCAAAATAAATTAAAATGCATCTTACAACACATGCAATTTTAACACATTCATTCTGTAACATCATCTTTACTGTTTTTATCAGTGCATAGTGCTTTGTCGGTTTGTGTTGTTTTAAGTTCAGACTGTATGAATCGCACTATTGCCTGAGGCATTAAATTTCACCTCAGGGACAATAAAGTATGTGCTAACTTTTTTTTTAAATTACATTTGTTTTTAAAGCAGCAGTCACCCCATTGTTGTTACAACTCACAAGTATTTCAACAAGACATTACTTAGCGACTTGCAGATCTATCCACTCTCAACAGGTAATGAAATCACATTAGCTAGCAGCTAACATCAGCGCCTAACCTGTTGTGTTAGCAAGACGACTACTTCTTCTTATGCAGCACTTTCACAAGACAGGCTGCAATGCATGATGGTCTGGCTGGATTGATGTAGTGGACAGCTTCTTTACACTATATTGTGGTGAGCCTCACGACAGTGGATCAAATTTACAGTTGAAAATTCAAACAGCATGATAAAATGGCTGATTGGTGGGTGAGTGGATGATCCGAACAAAGCCCCAGTAACACATATGCATGTTCAAGATAATATACCTGGACAAATTAGGAGTCTCTAATTTCCTACCCAACTATGTAGAAATTAGCTTCCCAGGGAAAGCTAACTTTAGCCTGGTTACTAACAGCATAAACTTCACTTGGAATTACTTGTTTTTTGCCACTCAACATCATTCAAATTAAACATAGACGGTACATCCTGCACCTTTTGTCAACTGTTCTTAAGAAGCTGTTGTTTTTACAAAAAAAAAGTGAATCTCTGGTGATGTCTGGCCTATTCATAGACAGAATTTGTGCTTTTAAAGCCCTGTTATTTCCTTAGTCCTGGGTTTAGGATTAAGACCAGAATTAGGAAGACAAAACTCCTGCTCACTAGTAGACATGCAATGGTTAGAGAAGATTGGGAGTAAGATTTATAGAATTTGTGTGGTAGAGGGCCTATGGTCCTCACAAGTGCAGAAAAATGAGCATTTGTGTATGCGCTTCCTCACACAAACAAGGGTACAGTAAATATGGTACTAGTATGCTACCAATTTTCCAGCGTGTGTGTGTTAGTGTAGGTGGACGTGTTTAAGTGTCTGTGAACGCTGCCAGTAACTGGATGCTCCAATATGCCTGTGAATATGTCTTGGCAGCCATATGAACCGCTTGGCTGGCGAGTGGGAGAGGAGCAGAGGAGTAGGAGGGAGAGAGGATGGGAGGCCTGACCTTGCAGATGATTCAGTCAATGGAGTAATCACAACTATTCCTCTGAGTCTGCAGTACAAACAGGAGGTTACCACCAAGGCTGAGCTTTGCGTTTGCAGTCTCTTCTTCTTCTCTTCATTTGTTCTCTGTTTTTTTTTTTGTTTTTTTTTTTTGTATTTACTTATTTACGTCTTGACAATTTCACATGTTTGTGTGTTTCTGTGGCTGAATTATTAGGTCTGGTTTGTGTGGATGAAAGAAGCTGTGAGTGAGTGAGTGAGTGTGTGTGTGTGTGTGTTTGAGGGGGGTCCATTCTGACGCAGCAGCTGTTTTAACTGATGTGTCTGTGTTTTATGTCTCTCATGGACTGGGGAGGGGTTCAAGGGGCTGTAATATCTAATGAGTTTTTTTTTTCTCTCCTCATGCAAATTTGATAATATCCCATAATACATGTTTATTATTTGTGTTGTTTAATTAATGTTTGTGCGTTGCCTCTGTGACACATGGATTCTTCCCATAAAGCTATTGTTTCGGCAATTTTTTTTTTTAAATCCTGGGAGAAATGAGGAATATATTGTTATTGTTTCATTGTATTTTTATGACCATCCCTCATTGTGTTTTATTATCCACAATATGTTATTATGGTGGTAAAAGATGACTAATATGTAAGCACAGTGCAATTTTCCTTTTTACAACAGTGTATCATTAAGAACCGTTTCTGCTGTTCTCTGTACATACAATATAAACTTTTTCAATGAATAAATTGAGGGTAGTTTCAATCCTTGTTACTTTTAATTTCCCTTCATTGTGTTGCTTTACCATTCACAAATGGTTCTCTCTACTTGATAACGCACCAGCGAAATAAGATGCATAATTGAAGGCAAGTAATGAATATCTTATTTCTTGCTGCTACCATGCTGCGTATTACTGATTTAAGAATTCAAAATGAAACACTGTTCATTAAACTTCCATTTTCCCATTTCAATCATAAAATTGATTATTCTCTTTCAGGGCTACATGTATTTGAACTGCTAAACGTCATCTGGTTGACAGATCGTTGTTCCTCATGCCGTCAGCAGCTAGGAATAAAAAAAGGTAAGAGAAGAAGAAAAAAAGTCATGACTTTGTGAATAGACTCTCTCATAAACGGAGGAATGTCGAGACAAGTTGAACTGCTTCAGCTTCAGCCATACATTGGCACGTGTACAAAATGTGGCTCCCACGTTTGTTGAGGCTGCCGTGGAAAAGTATAAGAACTCATCCTCCCTGTCTCTCCATCTCTTCAATCTCTGTTCCTGATAGGTCACTAGGAGGTTTTTGCCTTGAGCTGGCTTAACTTCTAATAACATCCTGTGATGACTGATGGTGATAAAGACAATAGTTAACTTTATGATGTTCAACTCCAAGGGAAGAGGCAGGTTTAAGAAAGTGCTGGCGTTGGCCCTGCATCACAGAGCTCCTGCCAAATCCTTCTTCATCCTGAGGAAGGGAGAGGTCTTCGCAAGAATCCATCTGGTCACAGTGGAAATACACAAGAAAGCACATGCATCAGGGATGAAGACATCCACTTGTATATATCACCTTTGGGGATAGGGGGAGGGTAAACTTAAGGAAATGTCTCACTGAAATGGGAAACACAAGACAAGGTGTCTGTCTTTTACCTCTTT